GCCAATGACAGGTTTCTAATTAACTATATTTATGCATTAAATCTTGCTTTTATTGTGTGCTTTTCTACCAAACGACAGTAACCGTCTTTAGCAAAAAACATGGCAGAATTTTTAACTTTTAAGTTAGTCTATGACTTATAGCATTTAAAAAAGATTAAAATTCAAAGCAATGGCAAACTACGTCAACAGTTTAGGTTTATTCGGTTTCGTTTAATTAACTTAAACGATGAGAGACTTGTTGGTGAAGCTGAAGTATTGTTTTCACAGATGGTTAACGATGCTAAACTTACACTGAAAGTTAGGTTTTTTTGTTTTCTTTTCTGTTTTTTTCTCTAATAATATTAATTGAAGCTTAAAGTTTTGACTCTATTTTTTATTCTAAGGTTAAAAGTGCCAAGAACAAGTTTAGAAGAAAATGCAAAAACACCGTTAAATTATTTTGCTGTTTATTTACATATCAAAGCAGATTACTTTAAATTATGATTTTGTGTGCATATTTTTGTAGACAAAAGAAAAAACCTGGAAAAGTTAGAAACCGTTCAACGAATTAAAAATTTAATAATTTTATTTTTGAAAGAGAAAAAGTGACAATAAAAGCATTGACTTATAAGTTATTGGTAACTAGAAGAAATTTTGCAGCTCTACTCTCGAGATTTTAATGGAAATCCGCTTTTTGGTGCTTCTAAACGATTACTGCACAGTGTAGGCACACTGCATATCAATGCCTTCTTGGATAACTCTATGTCTTGTTCGCCATCTCGCGGATTCTCCAACAACGCAGATTTTGTGGTTCGTGATGACGACGAAATTAAAGAATCCAGTAACGTTATGTTGGCCAGCGGGTGAGCCATGAGACTCAATTTTATCAGTTATAACTCTTAAACTTGATTCTTCAATCATTTTTTCATTTTTCTCCTTTTAATTGTCTTTTTTCCGCGTTGATGAGCAGTGTGAAAATTACTAACAGAAAAAGGCAACTATGAAGTATTTGCAAATTATCATTAAAGTAACAAATTTATTTCATAGATAGGGGCCGGTACAAATCGAAGTATAATCGAACTGAAACAAAAGACACGTTGTTTTTTGGTAATAATTGTTAAGAGGAAATCAGAGAAATAAGAAACTATGAAATTGTCTCATAAAACTGTTTATTTTGTCAGTATAAGGTCAATTTTTTAACAGTTAATCCGTCTTCGTCTTTATGACTTTCGCTGAGAATTTTTTGCCTTGAGAACTGTCATCACCAACATGGGTTGTTTTACCTTGAGTTATTTTTCTACGTCAATCGACAAGTGTTGTATAGTTTCCCCTCTTTCTTCTTAAACCCCTCATATCCAGAGTAACTGGAAATTGACCACTTGGTGGTTTTATTAATATCACAGGTCTTACGCACTTAAACCATTTTCAATAACCGTTTCAGTAAGTACTAATTTCTTTCTTCAAAAAAAGGTTTTAGAAACAATTAATCATTGTATAGAAACAAGTCATTAGTTCAGTGAAACTTCGGCTAATTTTGCGAACTAAACAAATCTTAGAACTGAGTGTTTTAGGAGGACACAAGCCTACTTAATCTCTTTGTTGGCGCCGGCAACCGAAATACGTCTTCAGCAACATCTCGCTTATCAGCCTTCTAGCTATTTATTTCAACCATTTTATTGTTGTACAAAACTCGTGTGATTTATATTTGTTCGCTCTTTTTTCTTCTCACCAGTTTTTCGAATTTTTTTTATCTGTAAATGAATTGCTTTCCGGTATTAAAGGTCGTTGTAATTTTACTTTTGGTTTCTAATTTTTCATCTCCTTGTTACAGAAATCACTGAAACAGTTTAGTAAGAAAAGGATAAAGCAACCATACTATTAACGCAGTTAGAGTTATGTCTCTTCTTGGTACTGAATAAACAATGATGAGTCGTCGTCTTTAGAAAATCTTCTGGTAGATTCATATTAGAAATTGCTTTAGTTGGTGTGGTTTTATACTGCTAATGCACTTAACAAACCAACTAAAGAAACGAGTAGAGAAATAAAATAAACTGATAGACAAGGACAAATTCTTGATTCAAAATTCAATCCACACTTTTGCATGTGCATTTTTCAACAATGTTGGAATTGCTGTTAAGACTGTAAACAGTCATAAACTGCCGCCAAAAAAAATTTGTTTTCACCAAACCCACAGATCGTCAGTTGTTTCTCATATTAATTCAGTATGGTCCATGGGGTTAGACTAAAGTGATATTTAAACTAAAATTTGCCAAAAAATCTTAGTTTAATGATTATATAAATTTTAGTGCCTCTTTGTTGCAGTTAATTGTAAACCGGTAATTATTTGTAAAGATCAAAAGATGTATGTAAAAAACAAAAAATTTTGTTACACCTTTTCTGCATCATAAAGTGTAAAAGGTTCCCTGACTGTTCCCATACGTAAAAATACTATACACAAAAGTTTTTTCTAACAATTCCTTAACATTTGATCTACACTGCAAATATTGCGCAAAATGACTTTCTGAAAAACGAAACACGCTTCTCTGACACTTACGCTTTTTACTTCACAACATTCCGCAGTTTTCCCGTACTCCTAGCGAGAATTCCAGTGGCAAAGCTCATTAAACTAGATTTAACTACTGTAATTTTGATAAGTCACAGCTACCGTCAGAGCAAGAAAAGCGATATACTCCTTTTCAATAACTTCGACTGCCATCTTAAATGCTACTGGCAACACAGGTGAAATACCTCAGCCTAGACTTTTCACTACCTCCTGATTTTTCTTAAAAAATTAGACTTTTAAAAAGTTTGAATTATTTTTGACGAGGACTGGCAGTTTTTTTTTCTTTCACAAAAAATAAGGTTTGTGGACCGTGTATATTAGTATTGATAGTATTTCGATATAAACGAATGATTTGTTGCTAGTTTCTGGTGAGAAAAACTAGCAAGACTAAATTTCTTTTTTGTGAAAGAGTTAAAAAAAACAGTTTTCCAGCGTTTGACAGTCAAGGATAAGGCTAAGTTTATTTTTTGTTTTTTAACTTCTCAAACTTCAAACCTTCACATCCTCTTGCGAACTCGCTCACTTCTCTTGCAAATTTGAGGTCTATTCAAAGGGGTACCGTCCTTAACGCCTTTTCCAAAGACTATGCCACAACTGCATTTTCCTCTACCAGAAAATTTTTTTAGATGCAAGCTTGAAATGTGCGCAGACTTTATAAACTGGAAAACAGAAATTAAGAAACTGATCACTTGTAGTATCTTTCAAAAGACAAGTAAATTTACTTGCATCTGAAAAATGAAATTTCAGAAGAAAAACTGTCTTTTTCTGGCCGGCGATTAAAAGCAGGAATTGGCACTAAATATTCTTTCCACAGATCGCTCACTGGCAAAGAATAAGACGCGAGATGTAACCAAGTTTTAATGATCAGATATCAAACAAATCGGTTAAACTCTACTGATGTTCGGAAAAGCGCTTCCTTGTGTAGCATTACAAATTTCGGCTTGAACTATGCGGAAGAATGCTCCAGACAGATCACAGTAAATTTTACACTGGAGAACACTGAGAAATATATTCAATGCAAAAAAAACTAAATCTAAAAAAAGAATATGAAGAAGAAAAAAAGAAGGAAACTGAAAAATGGAAATAATGGAGTATATAACGAAAAGAATTTTCATGTATTTATATCCGCACAAAAAGTACAAGGCAAGCACCGGATATGTAAAAAAATTTAAACCTTAACTTCCAACTATTCAAGAAAAAGACTGGCCGAATAAAGTCTGAATGTTTTACTGCGAGTGACGACTAGAAAGTTGCTAGTTAAATACTGCAGCGTTCGAGAAATAAAATAAATAACCTAACTTTTCATTACCAGCTCGAATCAACAAGAAAATAGTATAGATTTGACCCAATTTACAACTCCTAATGTTCATTAGTTTTGGCAGTGGAGAAGGTATTTATACAAAGTGTTCAATAAGTTTTCTCTCTTATACTTGCAGATCTTCTGCCCACTTTCACAAAACACCTGGAAATCCTTGAAAAGACCACTGAAGGTTAAGCATGTTTCAGCGTTACGACAACAACAAAGTGCGAAGAAAGAACAAGAAACTTCTTGTAATCAAAAACATGATCCCTACGTCAGTAAAATTTAAGATTTTTCGAAGAAGACTGCTGGTCGTTAATGATAATGAACCATAACTGCGAGTCTGTTTCCATAAATTTCTCAAAAAAAGCCGTGTAAAATCAAGAAGGCTTGACCTTTACGAAGCAGTCAGACCAATTTCATGAGCACAGGTTTTTTGAGGCAATCTTTGTTTTATGCAGAAGACCGCTGCGACGCCGAAAGCTTCCTCGTACATTTACAATTTTTATTCTGGAACAAGCCTATAGTCACTGGGAAGCAGTATGAATGAGATATCCAGAGAAACTGTTTTTTTTTTTTTTTTTTCTTGCGTTACTCCCCGACTTTTTATGCCGGTTGTTTGTGTTTTATTAAGAAGTCTGCTACACTTAAAAAACATATTTTTTTTTTTCTCAAAAATTCATCCTGGAAGCACCCTACAGTTGTTCAGGTTCTTTATAATCAATTACGCTGGTCCAATTAGAAAAAATCTAAAATTATCCAGAGCTTAATAGTATGAAGCGTCTTCATCACCTACTGAATTACAGATTATGGACAGGTTTGTCAAGGGTGGAGCAAAGGGCATTTTATAACACGTTTCTAATAACACGTTTCCACACACAACTTGGGCTTATGCAGAGTGCTAAAAGTTACTCAAAAATACCCTCTATATGTCCATATAAGGGTCTGAGCCAAAGCCGTTCTTTTATATTTACCACGGAGTAATTCGATAAAAAAATTTTTAAGACTGATGCTACCAAGCATTCTTCTGCCTCCGCTTAGGAGAAGGTTGACTAAATTTTGCGCAACATTCTTAAGGTAGTACCTCTACTTTTCAGATAATGTACACTATTTACTACGGCTTTAGGGATTGGAACGCAGTTGTTGCGGCCGAGGCTAATTTGGGCACTGCTCGGCGCTGTAACCAGTCGTTCTTCGGCTTTTGTTCAGTGGTAAGCGATGGAATTTTCCCGCTTTGGTCCTTATAGTGAGGCGATCGTTCATCGAAGTACGCGAATGTCCTGCCTGTAGCGGTCATACACCAGAGGGTCCTGTTTTCCAGAGAGGCAAGAAACTTTTTGGTGTAGTTTAATGCTTCTTTCTTTAGCATTCTTTTAATTGTAAGGCTTATTACAGCAGTGCTTAATTTACTTTCGTCGATTAATGGTCGTTGCAGTATTTGACAGTTTTTATTTTGTAACTGGTCAGATAGCTCAAAAGTCCTTCAAATATTTTCTATAATTTTTTTCACCTATACAGTTA